CCTATGTGAGTGAGCGGAAGGGCAATCTTCCTAATGTCCTGCCCTTCCGAAGTTTCTCCCTTTCCTGTTGTTGTCCACGTGTCCTCTTGGTTACTATTATTCCGCTGCGCTGTTCCCCAGCCCATGATAAAGATGATGCAAATGTGTTGTTGTTGTTTTTCTCGTTGGTTTACTTGTTGCATTGTGCACATTGACATCTGGTGAATGTTGCATCTATGCTGCTGGTTGTTGCCACTTTCATAATTGCTAGATCCTAGGCTGTTAGTGCATTTCACTTTCTGATATGCTACACGCAGGGTGGTCCTTGGGTGCAAGCGGCATCTGTGTGTTGGGGAACGAGGTTGTGAGTGTGGCGAGAGACATACCTGGTGCTGGAAGCGTGCGACATAGGTCGCTGTATGCTCGTACTTTGGGAAAGTTGTTGACGTCATCTTTCGGCATCGTAGTGTAGGCTAGATAGGATCTGCCACATGTAGTCTGGGCGCCAAGTGCCAGATAGGATATCAATTCTGGTTCTTCGTTCATGATGATGATGGGACTATTTCAGCATTGTCAATTATGAACTCTTGGTGTGTTCTTATTTGGTGAATCTTGTGATGCAATTCTGCTGTTGGTTCGAGGTCACGACTATCTGGACTCATATGTATGATGCTGTTTGATTGCTGAAGTTCGCTATTGCTCATCTTCCTTGCAATTTGGTATCGGAGCTGTGGCGTAAGTGGTGTGTAGTGAGGAGGGCGGAGGTGAATGAGTGGCGACCCAGGAGGTGAGGGGATCGCTAGGAAGGCTATGTGGGGGTAATGTGGTCTGGACAGTGTGATGAGAACTATCTAATGTGCGATTGATGCTGAGGTGGAACGGTGAGATAATGCTGGTTGTGCCGATGCAGTGACTGGTCATCGCAATCGCCATTTGGTCATCTGGTGAGATTATCTTTGTGGTTGGGTGCAGCTATTTGAGGTACGTTGCTCTTAACCTTATCTACCCTCTCCGACACTTCTTACCGTGAGGTTGTGTTCCTTCTTGAGAGTCCTCTCATTGTGAGGTGTCGAGTGCGCTCAACCTTGAGAGTCGGCAATGTTCACGTGGCGCATCTGGGAGAAGATGGGCGGAGCTTTCTGAAGGGCCCTGGACGAAGTACTGGGTCACGGTCACCATGCCAACCCACAAGGAGTAGAGCACGCATGCCTTGCTGCTTGTCCTTTGTTCGGCTTGTTGCGCTGTTAGATGGGTACTGATGGGCAGGCCAGCCCTTGAGGGAGACGAGACCGGGAGTCTTTAAATAAGCACCGGAAGGGGAACCATTGGCTGTGATCGTTGTTCGGCTGCGACGTAAAAGAATTCCTGGAGTCACTTGGGGGCGGACGTTAAATTGCCTTTGGATCAGCCAATGGTTGTAAGGCTCGCTGCACGCGAGGATAATCCAGTGTAGGGCTGGCCAGCTCAGCAGATACTCGGGGCACAGGGGTGGGACGGACACACACCTTTAGACACGCAACGCCTCCGGGTTGCTCAGGAACACTGACGTCAAGTGATACTCAGGGGAACTAAGGGAGGGGTAAATTCCAAGTGATAAGTTCGAGAAAATTCCATGCTGTCCTATCCACACAAATGATTCTATTTTTATGTTTTGAATAGTTAGGTGTACAGCCATTGACATCTGACAGACGACATTAGTTAGGACTATTTCTTGTTCATGATGCTTCTGTTTGCGGACTAGTCAAACTAAAAATAGTTTTATTTGTAGGAACCTGACTTACCTGTTAACCCTAATGTAAAGTCTCTGAAATAGCCATCGTCTGTGCACTACGCTGCGGTAGGCACCTAGAGTGCATTAGTGCAGATTGTGTACAGGGCTGTAGCATATGAGCGATAGGGAGGAACAGCAACCGGACGACCGGATCTTGCGATCGGCAAGGCGCCCAGTAGCCCACTTGGCATTAGGACCAGAGGGCGACAGACATCTGTTCCGCCAGCTTAGGGAGAGGCAGCAGCAGCAGAGGAGGGCTAGAGCAGCAGAGGCTAGCAGGGCACTAGTGAGTGAAGCCGCAGCTTGAGAAGCCATGGCCACCTCAGCACAGCAGTCTACTCAGGCCGGTAGTTCAGAATCTGTTGGGTCAACGGTCGCGCAGACCCAGAGTCAGTCCGCTGGCGTAATGGCAAGCCACCCAGTAGTGTTGACGCCTGATGAGATCGCCATACAACAAGCTACAGAAGGCGTTAGGAGATATAAAAGCGGAGAAAGAGAGAATGATTAGAAGAAGAGCCAGGATGCAACGTAGACAAGCGGACGTTAATGAGTTAAGAGGAGATGGACCTGACGCACGTAACGGATGATGTGAGGATCATCCGGTCTGTCCTGCTGAATGTAGTGGAGATGCAGGACCAGCAAACAACCATCCTTCAGGATATCCAGCAAAGTCTGGCCCTGTTGGCTGGGCGAGCGCCAGCAACGTTACCAATGTCCGGGCCTGGTGCCTGGCCCGTTGTACATCCTCCTCCTTATGTCCCACCGGTGACTGGGGTATCCCCATATGTAGCCCCATCATCGGTAGCGATTGTTTCCCTAGGCATGCCGCTTTCAGGAGGAGTATCAGCAGGGACTAGTTTGCAGGTTCCTGTACAGACAGTGTTCACCCAAACTCCTTTGCAGGTTGCGGTCACCACGCAGACTGTGCGGCACACATCCCCAGCAGCTTGCACAACAACCGGTGTCACAGGGTCCATAACCCGCAGTGATGCAGGGACCGGGACAAACACAGTGGGTTCCAAAGACGACCATCGTCGCTCCGAAACCCTTCACAGGGGACAAGAGAGGCGAAGACCTCGACACATGGTTGAGGTCAGTGCCAATCTATGTCAGGTGTAAACTTACCTTGCCACACGAAGAAGTGCTTGTGGCTGCTTCCTACCAAGAGGGTAGTGCAGCAAGATGGTTGAGTGGTTTAGTTCAGCTCCAGGGGTATGGTCATAACTTCCGCGCTTAGGCGGTCACCCAGAAATTGGAGGACTTCCTGAAGATGGTGGAGGAAAGGTGGCACGATCCTCGGGAGGCCCATAGGGCCACTGACGCGATCCTGACACTGCACACACAGCAGTTTAAGTCAGTAAGGGAAGCCACTGACGTTGTTGAGCGTCTGATCTGTGTCCCAGGGGTGCGCTATGACCCCCAGGTTTTACTTACCTCGTACCTGAGATGCTTCTCTTTGCCTCTCACGAACCAGTTGGCAAGTCAGGCCAACATCAATTTGCACAACTTCCCTTCTTTTAGCAAGATGGCCCTAGACCTTGAGGCGAAGATAGGGCATGGACAGGCACCCACTACGGATGGTAGGAAAAAGACACTGCCTCCCAACTGGAAGGCGAAGGGCCGCTTAATGTTTGTCGATAACGATGGTTCTACTATCGAAGTAGACGAACACTTCCAGGAAGGAGTAGGTTCAGAGGCGGGCAACGTAGAAGCTTCAGAGGGTGGAGTAGTCGCTGTTGTAGCTCAGAAAGGTAAGGCGACCGGTAGACGCCGCGGAGGCTCTCG